TACAGCCACCAGCAGGATGAGCTGCAGCTACCTGGCCATCTGCCTTGGGCTTAACCTGCTGAGCCCGCCCAACGAGGACCTGCTCCTGCTGGAGGCCATGCTGGAGGTGACTGAGAAGGTATTGACCTGCTGACTGCAGCCTTCCTGGCCCGTCAGAGCTTGGCTGCTCAGAGGTCTCTGGATGCCTCCTTCCTTCAGCAAATGCTGGTGGGGTGGCCACCCGGAAGAACAGCCCCACAGCCATGGCCTTCTGTGCAGAGGCAAGGATCAGGAGTGGGAAAGGTGGCGTGGTCCATTTTCAGGCAGCTAGGTTGAGACCAAGGGCCTGATGTGTGCTGGTGGAGTTTCTGATGGAGAACTGCAGGGAACTTTGGGGAGGAGACAAGTGAGCTTTCCTGTCCAGCAGCCAAGGAGTCACCAGCACCCATGGAGAGATCCAGAGGTAGGAGGAGGGACTGAGGGTTGTCACAGGCTGGGGCTTGGCTTGCCAGAAACCTCAGTGTCATTTCTGGTGGGATTGGGCATTGAGTGTTGTCCATTCAGCCCCGCTTGTCCCATGGCCTCTGTTTGGCCATTGCCTCTCGGGGCATGAATGCTTTGCTCTGCAAGATGAGCTGAAGCCTGCAGACAGGGCATCAGAGGGCTGAAAACACGAGTGGTATAGGGCTTTGGGTGGGTTTTGCTTGGACTGTTTTTTACTTCCAAGAAGTCACTTTGCTGCATGTGCTTTTTCTTTCTAGATCTGCATTTGGAAGAGCAAAGTGCCCCTGCAGTCACCGCAGACACCAAGTGTCAGGCAGGAGCCTTGCCACACGCGCCCCACTCTCTGCTCGGTGTCCTCAAAGATGCTGGCAGAGATACGGTGGTGGAGTCTGAAACGTGAGAGGTATGTCAGGTCCCCAAACACAGTGACAGCGTGTCTTGTGTAGAAGGGGAGTTTCTGATGAGGCCAAGTCACTGCTGTGCCTCTGCCTGGCAGGAGAGCTGGTGCGTGTTTGGGTTATTCCTGCACCCACTGGCACGAGACATAGTAAGGAAAACTGGCAAGGTTGTTCCTCAAATGGACTAGGCATGTGCTTAATCAAACAAAATGTCTACAAAATGCCTACAAAAAGACTGAGGGGAGTAGCTGTCAACTTTGGAGGGGTTTTGCTCAGGTCCTACTTCAAGTAGGAGCTTTATCAAGTCGGGGCAATCCCAAGCACAAGTACAGACTGGGTGGAGAATGGGTTGAGAGAAACCCTGAGGAAAAGGACTTGGGGGTGCTGGTTGATGAGAAGCTCAACATGAGCTGGCAACATGCTGCGGCCTCCCAGAAAGCCAATCGTATCCTGGGCTGTATCCAAAGAAGCGTGGCCAGCAGGTTGAGGGAGGTGATTCTGCCCCTCTGCTCTTGTGAGATCCCACCTACAGTACTGCATTCAGCTCTGGGGACCCCAACCTAAGAAGGACATGGAGCTGTTGGAGCAGGTCCAGAGGAGGGCCACAAAGATGATCCGGGCTGGAGCACCTCTGCTATGAAGACAGGCTGAGAGAGTTGGGGCTGTTCAGCCTGGAGAAGAGAAGGCTCCAGGGAGACCTTCTAGCAGCCTTCCAGTACCTGAAGAGGCCCTACAGGAAAGCTGGAGAGGGACTTTTTACAAGGGCATGTAGTGATAGGACAAGGGGCAATGGCTTTAAACTGAAAGAGGTGAGATTTAGGTTAGATCTAAGGAAGAAATTCTTCCTCCTGAGGGTGGTGAGGCACTGGAACAGGTTGCCCAGAGAAGTTGTGGGTGTCCCATCCCTGGAAGTGTTCAAGGCCAGGTTGGATGAGGCTTTGAGCAACCTGATCTAGGGGAAGATATCCCTGCCAAGGGCAGGGGTGTTGGAACTAGATGATCTTTAAGGTCCCTTCCAACTGAAACCATTCTATGATTCTCTTTTAGTGGGGTGGGGGAATATGCAAAACGTGGCTGATGCAAACCAGCCAATGGGATCTCCTCTGGAGAGCTAAGGTAGCAATTCGGCAAACAGTCACTTACTGCTCCAGGTCATCTCTTGCCACCTGCCAACTCTGATATTTCTGTTGTAGGCACCTCCAGCTTTACCTCCAACCACCCCTGAGTGCGCAGCAGACTCCCTGAGGCACCCAGAAGAACTAGCAAGCCTTTCAGAGGACAAAAGTTAAAATGAGCTTGCTTCGGTTAAAATCAGAACTGACTCCAGTGGATCATGGCTTTCCCTAATACCACTGTGGGATGGAAAGATTTGCTTGCTCTCCCTGGGACAAAGAAAATGGAAGAAACTGAAAGAGAAAACAGGCCTAGGGAGAAAAGAGTGAAAGCTGTGTGGAGAAGAAGAGGAGGAAGAGAGAAAAAGTTTTGGGGGATGGACCAACAGAAAGATGCAGGAAGGTGCAGAAGGTCAGGAGGTGCAGGTGTGTACCGCTTTCCGTCTTTCTCAACTCAGCACTGCTCTAAGCCAGTCCAGCTTGCTGGCAAGGGATGGCGAGGGATGGTGCTGCGCAGGGTTTGGAAAGAACTCCATGGCAGGTCCACAGGATCTCCCGATCGAGCGCTGCTGCGTGGCACAGGGACACTGTGCATCTCTGCACACGGACAGGTCTCTAAGGGCATTGCCCAGGGGGATACGGTGCCAGAGCCATCCCATAGCCAATGCCAGCAGCAGCTCTCTCTTCTGGACCATGAACAATTACTTGTAAATGGTGTTCCCCAGAAGAAAAGGGAACAAAACCCTGCCTCTTCCTGCCTTTGTGGTTTTCTTGGAGCTTTCTGACTCTTTTGTTGCAAGTGCCGATTTACTTTCACCAACTGAATCTCTGTGACTGCTGGGCCCCCACAGTTGATGTCCACAATAAAATGATTTTTTCTCTCTTCTGACTGTGTCTGCCATAGGATATTGTGGAGTCGGGGGGAGGAGTGTGGGATTGTCCCTTGTCCCAGCATCCTTTTCAGCAGGCGTCAGGGCTGAGTTTAGGTGCGTTAGGAGTGAAACCAAAGCACATAGTCACACAGGAGCGTGGAGGCTGGAAGGGACCTGTGGACGTCATCTGGTCCAACATCTGCTCAAGCAGGATCACCTAGATCAGGTTCCCAAGGACCATGTCCTGGTGAGTTTTGAGTATGTCTTTGAACAGCACTGTGAGGTCAGAGCGATGGCAAGACGTAGGCAGGGCACAGTGGCCGGGAAGGACTAAAGGTCTTCATGCAGACACCGTCATGTGCAGCTTGCTGTCCCCTGCAGCCATCCTCCTGGCATGCTGATTGTCAAGCAGTTTCCTCAGACGCCCCTACCTCATGGCAATGGTAGAGATTAACTTCCACACTGGATGGTGTAAACACCATTGCAGCTCACCCAAAAAGCTTTTGAAGTGACTCCAACAGCAGCCGGATTGCTGAGGCTTTCGTGCATCCCAATGTGACCCAGGGGACATCCGCACTGTGAGGAGGAGGAAGGATGAGGACTCACAAGTTGAGTAAGTAAGTGCACAAGTTGTGAGTTACAGATTGCCAGTTTTGAGTTAGAGAACTTGTGAGTTTGAAACCTCATGAATAAAGCGGTGAAGGAGAGAATTCACGTGTTAGACTGGTCTGTGCAAAGGGGATTGAGACGTTGTTTCTCTTTTTTTCTTTCTTTGTTTTCCTAATGAGCTCATAAAATAAAGTTGAATTTATAGAGTATATTGTCCTGTAAATAGAGTATGTTGTCCTGTAAGTTTGAGATCATAGAATCATAGAATGGTTTGGGTTGGAAGGGACCTTATAGATCATCTGGTTCCAACCCCCCTTTAGGGGCAGGGACACCTTCCACTAGGCCAGGTCGCTCAAAGCCTCATCCAACCTGGCTTTGAACATTTCCAGGGATGGGACACCCACAACTTCTCTGGGCAACCTGTTCCAGTGCCTCACCACCCTCAGGAGAAAGAATTTCTTCCTTAGGTCTAATCTAAATCTCCCCTCTTTCAGTTTAATTTCCCCTCTTCCATTGCCCCTTGTCCCATCACCACATGCCCTTGTAAAAAGTCCCTCTCCGGCTTTCTTGTGGAGTTTCCTTTAAGTACTGGAAGGCTGCTGGAAGGTCTCCCTGGAGCCTTCTCATCTCCAGGCTGAACAGCCCCAACTCTCTCAGCCTGTCTTCGTAGGAGAGGTGCTCCAGCCCCTGGATCATCTTTGTGGCCCTCCTCTGGACCTGCTCCAACAGGTCTGCGTCCTCCTTATGTTGGGGCCCCAGAGCTGAATGCAGTATTCCAGGTGGGGTCTCATGAGAGCAGAGTAGAGGGGCAGAATCACCTCCCTTGACCTGCTGGCCACGCTTCTTTTGATGCAGCCCAGGGTACTGCTCAGTCCAGAAGAGGCTTCCTGGTGCTTTGCGTGGTCTGTAGGACAGGCTGGGGGCTGTTTACTGTTTCGAGAAGCTCTACAGAAAATATTCTTCAACTGCAAGTTAAAAGACTTGCCTTAATGTTTCAACAACGCCTTCAGAAGACCCTGGCTCATTTGGCACATCCTCCCAGGCCGGGAACGAGGCTGTTCCTGAGAAGAAATGGTCAGATGGAAAGTGCTCTGGACGGCCCATCAAGCCAAGATTTCATTGCCTGTGCACATCAGTTTCAGGCACTGTATTCTCACTCAGGACTTGTTGCAGCCTGAACTCGTCTTCCCGCCTGGATCATAAGAGATATCTTCCATTAGTGGCACTTTGCTCTGACAAGCGTCCTGCTGTGCATTGCAGCAGTTCGGAGCTAAATAATTTATTTTGGAAGCATGTTTTGTACGCGACTTAGAAAATGGAAGAGACCAGGAGTATTGCAACAGCGAACTGTGGGACGGACAAATATGTTCTGCCCAGTAGTTTCTAAGCATTGCATTTTGCCATCCATTGTTTCAAAATTGCTTTCTCTCCCATAATTATCTTCAAAAGAGAAGGCTGATCCAAAGTGTTTTCTTTTTTTTTTTCCAGGGTGGTTCATTGATTTCCATTTTTAATAATAAAGATGGGTAAACAAATGCAAGAAAACAACACAATGATGTATTACCTAACATTTAAAATAGAGAGAACGCGGATATGTGCCACAGCACACTTCATCTGTGGACATCAAAGTGTCTCACAGAGGTCATAGTCCTCATTTCAAAGACGAGGAAATGGAGGTGTTGAGAGAGAAAGTGGCTTAGCAGGTCAGTGGCAAAGCGGGGCGAGAGTCTCCCGAGCCTGTACCGCAGGCAGAGATGAGGGAGCAGGGGAGAACAAACCCGTTCTCACCTAATCAGGACAGCCCAGGTCCCAAGTGCAATGAAGGCACAGTGACACTGCAGGGAGCGCAGGAAATCATGCCACAAACCATGGAACCAGGGAAGCCTGGTTTCCTCCTGTTTTGTGTCTAAAGGGCAGTCCGGGGTTGTCTGATGTTGGCCTTTGATGGTGCAATCACGAGGTGCCACTGTGGCCTTTCCCTCACCAAGGGCACTGGTGGAGTCTGGCTCCTCAGCTTTGTTGTCTGTTTTCCCAAAACTTTTGGGTACTTGAGAATTTTTGAGCGTTTCTGTCAGATGTGATCATCGTGAGCTGGTGGAGTCACAAAGAACACGTCCTCGCACATGCACACACAGACATGTCTGTCTTGGCATTACAATATAGGGGGTGCCTCATCCTATGGAACTATGCAATCAGCCAACATTTTAACCTTCTAGATCTGTGGTTTTGAACTTTTTTTCTCTATAATAAAGTTCTGAAAGTGGATGAAGGCTGGTAAAGCAAGAATGTTCATGATGTTGATTCAGTAGCCGCTATCATTTAATCTTACGGGAAAACTCTTCCCAAGGGGAGACACAAAATTGGAGTTCCAACTCTGTAGCTGCATCTTTGAGCCCTGGGAGACTCGCTATG